ACCCACCGCAACGTCCCGTTAGGCTTAATAAAGCAGAACCACGGGGACGCATACGGTCCACTTGAATAGTCGGCGACGTGAGTACGTATCTTGCCGTCGAGATAATCCACCACCTTCCTTTCCTCGTCAGGATTGGGATATCGCGCCCCTCTCATGTTCCAAGGCTCGTGTGGCACGGTGTGGATGCGGATCATAGGTATCTTATCTACATCCAGCCTGCCACGCTCCTCGTCACTGAGCGCGTAGGCGCGATGCTTCCTCTTCATTAATTCCACCATCAGCGTTTGCTCCTGAGGCAGCAGGAAATCAGACTCYCCTATGATCAACTCCTTCTCGTTCCCTTCGTTGATACGACATGGCCCTGCTAAAGCACCTTCCCTCATTTGTCGAATCAACCCTCGTTCCCTCTCGTAATATGCTTCCTCGTCCTCTGTAACGAGGATGGGTACCGGGCGACACTTCTTATCTACCGTCTTGTACCGCCTTTGAGAACCCTGCTTGAGCCTTCCCTAAAAAAAGCCGACTCACGGATTGTGTTTGCGCTGATGCGGGGTTCCCTCTACTGCCTGGGAGCCGATATACCAGTTCCAACCTTCCTGCCTCAGGGCATTCTAGAACTTGTTCCCTCAAGGCCTGGATGGCATCCGGAACTGCCATCTCATGCACGGCCACCAGGTCCATGGCCTTCCCAACATCTGACAGGCTGAGGGAAAATGCTTTCACCTTCTCTCCTGCTTCGGGCTCTGCCCAGAGCCTCCTGCGCTCCCCTTCCGACTCCTCGATTGTGAATGATCCTGGATTGGACCGGTTCCTTATACTCCTTGGCCCGGTATTCCTGCAAGTAATTATTTCATAATTCCCGCAGACAGGATCGCATAAGAGGAGGATCAACGTCCCATCATGTTTGTTGAACATCACGGTCTCTGTCCTGCTTAGGAATGACCTCCCCAGGAGGATTCCATGGTCCACGTCTGGCATTATGAAGAAACATGCCCTGGCCTTCACCTTTTCAACCTCGACAAGCACATTCGAGGCTGTCCCGCAAAACATAGTCTTACAACTGGCTCCATGCAGAATACCGCAGTCAGAATGGTCTATATCCAGCCCGAATCTGATCGCGTCCGCCTCCCGAATAATGTTCATCTCTGCCCCGGTGTCCACCATTGCTGCGCACTTGGAACCCTTCACCATCAAATCCACCGTACCGCAGGCTACGCACTTCCAGTCCATCTTCGTACCTGACTCTGCCCACTCTGCCTCCTTGGGCAGGATCGTACCCAGATGGACATTGGACACCAGGCGCCGTGATAACCTCCCCTTCAGTTCATCGCGGAGTCACGGGGCTGATGCCAGGATTTCCTTCAGGGTCATGAGGTCATTATGCCCTTCCAGCAGCCGGTCAATCACCTTCTCTACATCAAATCTCTCTTCCAACCGGACCGCGTATTTCTTCTTTTTRGGCGGTCCGTCATGTATGACCGGTTCGGCCTCTCCCCTGGTCCCCTTTTTCCTTGCCCGCTGCTCTGCTCTCTGATCCTCTTCTCTGCGCAGCCTCTCGTCCTCTTCCTCTTTCGTCATCGTCGTCCTCTACTTCCACAGCCTCTTTCCTTCTCCCTGGTTCGTGCTCCCCCCTTGGAGACTCTTGGCTGGTACTGGCCTTGGCTTGATTTCTCGCTCCCGCTGCCTGTGCCAGCCGGGCCTGCGGAGTGAGGGGTCTCCCCCTCATTCCTGGTTGAGGGCACGACCCCACCACATTTACTCCTGGAAAGTCAAATTATATCTAACTCTTTGAATTAGTAGAAATTTGGGCAGCACTCCCTTTAGAAAGGGAGACTTCCCAGATTTATACTAAGTCAGTTATGAAAGCAGAATTAATCTCTGATT